TGAGAGAGAGAGAGAGAGAGAGAGAGAGAGAGAGAGAGAGACAGAGAGAGAGAGAGAGACAGAGAGAGAGAAAGAAAGAAAGACAAAAAAGTAAAAACGTATTAACGACAAGAATATAACACACAAACAACACTATTCCAAGTGCTTGAACAATTGTTTTTCTTTCTCTCCATTTGTCAGCACAACAGGCAAGAACTCGGAACTACCATCAAGCTCACTATCTGTTAGTACGTAACACCACTGCATGTGCAGCACCCACTTGAAACCAAAACTGACATTCCTCCTGGCCTTTGATTTCTCTTTGCAACGAAAATACAGCGAAGTAGAATTTTTGGCAACGATTCTTACAAATTAATACACACAGGAAGCTCCAATGTAAACATGTGATTCCTATTTATTATATTATGAACTTGAACTATTCTGAGTTGAAATTCTCTGAACTGAAAGGACTGTGGCTTGAGACTTATGAGCAGAATGAAAAAAATATGTGTTTCGGCCTACACATTCGTCTATTGTGTAAGTCAGGCCAGAATTTTTTTTCCACGAAAAGAAAAGAAAAAATCCTTATAGATGTACAATAAGATACACTTTTATATGGCTCAGGATGGAAATATCACCACAATAATATAGCATGATAAAAAAAATATCATAACTATAATTATCCATAACTTCCACTGGAAAGCAGCAACATTCCTGGAAGGTGTGACCCTCCTACATTTCAATATAATGGGAATAAATAATCTTACATCGGTGCCAGGGTTATGATGCTACGATATTCAGTTCATAATATAAAGATGCAAAAAAAGTAATAATAAGTAAGCTGAAAATAAAGACACCGCCACCATTGGATTTGATGTTGCTTAGTACATAAAAAGAGAAACATATCAATCTGCCCACGAAACATTCCCGAGCAAAAGCAAGAGCGATGATAACCCTACTTTTCTCTATTAAAAAAGTCAACAAAACAAAAACAAAACCCACATTCACATTGAAATATATTATAGAATATGGACAGCAATCTTCAGTTTCAATAAAAGATCGTTTCCACGTCATTTAAGCCCGCATCACGACAATAGTTTTTGTTTCAAAATGCATCTTTGTCACGTCTCTACCTACCACCGTCACACCAGATACACCTATAAACTAAAACACTCAGGCTGTTAAAATACTTTGACAGAAAAAAAATCATCATCAGATTATTAATAAACACTATGTTCTATGCTAATAAGGTCTACAGCGAGACATGCGCCTATCTGCCAAAACCACAGCAAATTTTTCTTCTTTAATTTTGACTCAAGTAAATCTTAGCATTGCATGATATTTGTATATTTTTTTTAAAAGGGGGAAAAAACATTTTCAAAATTAATTTCAAACACAAAATAAACTTCACAATAAAAAGAAATATTTTGAAAGAAAAAAAAACTGGAAAAAAAAAAGAAACGGAGAAAGGTGTAGGTAGAAATAGCAAACTGGTGAAGATATTGCAGTCGGTAATAAGCTAGGAAACCACAATGAAATAGGGGGCGCATATACGGCGTAAGACCAAAGATCACAACACACAAAACACACTGGTGTACCAACCTATCGCTCCCCGGGCGATGCCCCGTCCTCTGACCAGGGAGTTGGTGGGGGCCATCACTTCCTTAGGCTGGGCCTTCTTGCACTCAACCTGGAACATCAAATAAAGACCCAATCTTTACCTAACTTGGAACATCGAGCACAAAGCAAAGCTTTACACAGAGCTAAGTTTGACCTTTTCTTAATCTGGAACATCAACTACAGAGAGAATCTTCATCTTTACTTGGAACATTAACGGTAGAGCTAAACTTTACCGTTACCAAACCTGGAACATCGAGCACAGAGCTAAACTTTACCTTTATTTCATCTTTCTACGTAGCCAATTCTTCAGGAAATTTGTCAGCACAACAGACCTCCCACCCCATTTAGCCTTTTTGCATAAAGTCAACACCACACTAAGTAAAAAAGAAACGATTCATGCGATAAACATAAATCTGAATTATATTACATAAGATGGATGTCCTGATGCTCTGTAGAATTTTTATTATGGCTGTAAGCAGCTGGGCAAAGCCAAATGCCAGCTGAATTGGCTCGCCGTATCGTAAGAGTTGATTACTTTAAAAACATTTTGAAGAAGTTAAAATCGAGGGGAAAAAAACAGACGCAAGAAGGTGGATGGTTTAGGGTGGGGTTGGGAGGTGCACTAAAAACTAAAAAAAAAAAAAAGACTCTGCTCCATTTATCACATTCTGGCAGACATAAAGTCTTTACTCATCACAGATTTTGACACATCCTCTCCAGTTCATTCAAAAATACTAACCCCCCC